GAGGCAGTCGCCATCCAGTTTTGATCGGTTAACTTTTGTCCAACAATACTATGCGTTACAGGTCTAGTGTATCTAAGTTTTATACAAACGTTCACTCAGAAAACTGCGCTTTAATGTGGCTTCAAAGTTGTTAATTCTATTTCTGAAGAAGACAGACCTACCCTTGAATCTAGTGGACTTGTCTCTCGATATTCTCTGTTCAAGATTGGGCAACCCAGCTTTCGTACTTCCTTCGGGTGTTAAGGTAACTGGGCACCAAAACGGGGTTTCAGTTGAAAGATTTATTTGTATTTTTAATACAATATAAGATAGATTTTTAATCTCCAAGCTTTGAGACCTTCTTGGTACATAGGTAGCGTGAAACACGAAGGAAGCGTGAAGGATAAAATGCTGTCAAGCGTAGGTAGGGCAGTCAAGGAGTCGGGGTCAAACCAAGGACCATTCATTAAATAGTTGGGCGTCTTAGAAATCAAGGTATCTCAAGCCCATATAAATATAAGAATGAATCCAATTAAGAACAATTAGCTAAACAGCATAGACTAGGGGACAAAAAGTTTACTCAAAGGTAGTCAGTTGAAATTTTTGAGTGATATGTTGAGTAGGGATTAGTGAAAATAACCAGTCTACTTTTTGGTACGTGACATCTGTACCTATTAGGCTAGGGAAGAGTAACTGCGGAGTCAGGACCAAAGCTGTGTACAAAGCCCCGGGCTGTGGCCACGAAAAATGATATCTCTAACTGGATTCAGCGGCTGGTTTTTTTTTACCAATTTCGTCATTCTCAAGGTGACTTGGTCTATATTAGTATCCACTTAACCTGTTTTATCCTTTAAGTGGGCGAAATTGAGCTGTTTATGCTCCACAGGAGAGTCTTCGCCATCCAGGTTGCAATGTGTTCTGATGCTCATTTAGTCAACGGTCTCGTCATTCTTCTGATACAGCTAACCACACAGGGGCAAGTCGACTGATAAAGCTTTATTCCTGTCCTTCAGCCATCACGTGTGTTAGCTCGCAAATCGATTTTATCGTGTGATTGAACCTGCCAGAATAATGTCCAGAATAATGAGAAGTTTGACACAATCTGTTTGTATGTTAGCATCTTATGCGACTAGACATCAGTTTGCAGGCAGTGTGAAAGGAGAACGTTACACACAGTGATTCTATGGGACTGGTATTTCAACGTATAACAAGTTTGATTGATACAGATGAAGGTCCGTCATCTAGGAGCAGTTATCATTTATTCCTAACGTTTGGAGCTATTTTCGAGAGACTGTGATATCTGTCGCAAGGACTTCATTTCTACGAGAAATACACTCATTTGCAAGTCAATTTGGTTTTTACGAGAGACCCAACTGAATCCCTCGTTTATGCGATTCTACAACCGAATGTGCTGCACACAGGCCGCCTCATGTTTCAGTTGGCACGATATTCGAGATATCGCAGTATATTTTCACAAAGGAAACTACTCACAAGTTTGCTGAAAACTCTTCGACAACCCACGACCACTTTTGCCTTTTCTTTGTGAAACAAAGAGACCTCATTTTTAGTTTTCTCGAACGGCTTTGACAAGTTTTCCAGCCCTATCGGAGCCATGATCTTGCGCATACCCCAAACAGTATTCGGACACAGACTAGCGTGTTCCTCAGAATGATTGTTCACGTATCTAAGTCTTACAGGCAGTTTACATGTGATAGCTTCCCATATTTACTTCGTTTTTTTCAACTTTCATTTCAATGCATTATTGTACAATTCTGTTTTCACTTTCAAAGTGCTCGTTAGGAAGGAAGCGCTTTTATCAGGGGATACTTCCCGAGTTCGAGTCATCCTATTAAATGTGTCTTCAAAAGATTTTGGTTTCACACTGCTGTTTCTGTGCAAGAAATTCACAAAAAAACATGAGTTTTCAACTGCGCTTCCGCCCCCTTGGTGAGTTCAGTCTATGCTAAAAAGCCCAGAAGCACTGTACAACTGTTTCATCCTAATTGGGAATCATCATCAGTGCTCATCGTACAAAACTGACTTTCAATACGGATAAAAAGGCTTTGCTTACAGGACAAAATCTTCGTTATGAATCCACAAATCCCTCTAGACTTCCAAGTGCACTCTGGTGTCCGGAGGCTTACGGATGATTTATCGAGGTATCTGCTACAAGATAAGGTCGGTCACTGTGCAGTCTACACTTAAACTAAGGTACACGACCGTACTGAGAAGCAACAGTACCTAAACCGAGCTTCATCCGTGAGATTGACGAAAACTCTTCAACAGCCCGCTTCTGGTTTCGCCCTTCTTACGGCTTATCAGCTCAATCTAGTTCCTAGTTTTTAGTTGAAAATATGCCATTTCCGAATTGAACTGGTCACCCAAGGACTCCATTGGATTGCCAAGTTATAATACTCTTCAACTCAAAGTGTCACACACGCAAGTCACCTCGCTTTGCAGTTTTCGCGATATACTTGGACGTAATATGCTACTCATAAGGTTGCTGAAAACACTGACAGTCCACAACTGGGTTCACCCTTCTCGTCAGGTATGCGCAATCTCCGAGTTTACGTCAACCTTGTGTATACTTGGACCCCTACTTGAGGCGGTTCGTGGAATATCCTCATTTGCATAAAACAGTTTGGTGTTCATGGCAGACTCGTCCATTCTTCAATTGAGTGTGCCGTATGAAGACAACCTCATGTTTGCACGATTTTCAAGATATCTTTGTATATTTTCTTGGAAGAACACGCCATTCTTTGGTCTCACTCTTCACAAAACGAATGCTGCGGTCGCCATGGGACGCTGCAAAGCGGATGCGGTTCAGTAAATCTAATATTATACATCTTAAGAAAAGTGTAAATGTTCTTCACAAACCGAATGCTGACACATTGCGGTCGCCATGGAGCGCTGCAAAGCTGATGCGGTTCAGTAAATCTGATATTATACATCTTAAGAAAAGTGTAAATGGATACACTTCCTCCGCGCCGTTCCTGAAATACTGCTACAAAGTAGGGTATGATGACTTCACTGCCACCAGCTCTAATCCGGTGAAGCCACTCATCCCTCATCCGGTGATCCGCACACTGTGAATGAAATCAATTTAGGTTTTCCGAATGGAGCTGAATGTAAGTCCCAAGTGATCCGCATATTGTGGATGAAATCAATCTAGGTTTTTTAATGGAGCTGAACATAAGTCCCATTTTGAACGGCGTCTGCACGACTTGCGATAGGTACTGAGCTTTCGGAAAATTAAGCGCAGTCTGCTATCAGCCAGTAGCTAGAACACGAATACTGTGGATCAATTACTTGAAGAATCAGCAAGCCCCTTTCTCATACAAAGTCATATTGGTTAGGCTCGAATTTCTTGATGGGTGTAGGTTATTGGGAAGTCTCACTGTACACAGTAATTTTACACAAATGTGAGACGATACTCTGCGGAAGAAAACCGAAAGATTTCAATTTAAACAACAGCCCCCCCTGAAGAAGTGCCCGAGTTGTCTCTCATCAGCCTGATTATAATAATGACAATAAAAATTATATGCCCACGGCGAACTCTTTCTGGCCGGAATCAAGGGAGGATTTCGCCGGAACATCCAGAGTCATCCGACGAGTTTCTCTTAGGTTACATTCAAAAACCATCTTCTGGAGCTCAAACTGGGAAAGTTAATTTAAATTTTAAGATTGTTGCTGGAGACCTCCAAATTTATCTCGAAAGTAGTTTTACTCCGGAGAACGGAGCAATACTCTGGCTCGTCTACGCGTTGTTTCAACCCCGAACGATGTGAAAAAAGCGCAGAACATTCGTAGACAAAGTCAAGCTACTAATAAACATTTTATACAGTCTTTATCTCTAGCGATCTTCAGTCCCCAAATCCTTCTAGAAATACGCTCAATTGAAAACGAATGTTTTTTTAAAACAAGAGACCCCACTGATTTATAATACACTTTGAATGTTTTACAGAGGCCTTCTCATGCTTCAGTTGGTGTGGTATTCTGAATATCTTAGCAAGTTTGCCTGCATAAATACTACTCATAAGGTTGCTGAGAACTCTCGATAGCTCACGAACTAGCTCATCCTTCTTGGGGCTTATGGAGCTGTTGACGGATATTTAGCAACCTTTGAGTAGTGTTTTTAGACCCTTGGCTTCATACGTACAAGTCACCTAGGCAGCTGGATTCTCCCTGGAATTTCAAAGAAAATATTTTCTAGACGTAACACACTACTCATAGGGTTGCTGAAAACCCTTCGATAGTCTATGACCGGTTTCAACTTTTTTGGGGATCGTCAGGTAGGCACAATCCCAGAGTTTACGTCAACCCTATGTTCTACTTGAACATGAGAAATACACTCATTGGCATATCAATATGTTTTCACGTAAACTCACCGCATAAAGACCAACCGCGTGGAATATGAACCAGTTCCCTTCTAAATGAATGCTCTTGCGCAAAAAAGTCAGGGAATTGAAGACTCATCAACAAGTGTCAGATGTCTGCTTCAATTTTGGCGAAAATACCCCAATGATGGTGTATGTCGGTGTACGATTCGGCGGTCGTCTTGATGTTCCCAATTTCTTGTCTCGTTAATGGTGCGAAACCCAAAGGAACGGCACACCACCATATATCACAAAAGAGGAAAAACAGCCCTAAGCAAAGCGGAAAGTGAAGCCAGAAGCGATATCATTCCTAATGTGTAGGATACCGTACATATTTGAATTTCGCCGGAATGTTCTGAGCCATTGAGAACAACCTGTAGGCTGAAACAAACCTCTGGGAATGTTGGAAGTAAACATATTCCGTCACAAAAAGACTAGAGGAGATGACGTAATTTGTCTCTAGCAAATGAGTAAGACACAGAGGTAGGCAAAATGGGGAAGATGCAACGTGTGTATGGATGCCATCGATTCTCCAATGGCTATTCACCACCCTTGGCGTCCGTGTGATAATATATCACCCCCAAGACCATACCGCGAACCTATGAAAGTCTCCCCCTCCACACTGAGTAAAAAAATGACAGATGAAAAATACATTGGTATTTGCTTTCCCTCTGTCAAGTCTAATTACATAAAAGTCGAATAAAAAACAATTCTAACAAGCACAAAGAAAAGTCAGCGCTGAAATGAATCTCGGAGATACAGTTGAGATTGAAAAGACAGCTTGTAGACAGGATCTGTTTGTATCAATAAATGGCTGCACTTGTCCGAACCGTTAAAAGTAGCACTCGCTCATCAGCGTCAAAAATTCTACCGTATCAGAGATTGCAGTCGGGAAAAATAGGAAAAAGGAAAAAAGAAAAAGACATTAATTCTACGATAGTTAACAATAAATGCTTTGAAACGATACATACATGGTGACGTGCTTAAATTGACACTAAATGACGGTCATCGTACGAACTGAGCGTTATATGAATCTTACCTGGGTATAAAGGGGTATAATTAGCACACCCTTTGCCCACACTATAGGAATTAGTGACCCAGTTGTTCCAATATGAATGGGCAATCAAGCTCTGTCGGTTAGGAAAGTTGACCGTTGTCCGTTTTTCTGTTTCTTTTCACACTGAGTTTATGCCGTAGTACACAAGGTTCAGATGGTCACACACGCGCCTAACCTCAAACCAGTGCTGTGAGAGGTATGTTAAACATGGCAGGCAAGTCCGGGAGCAGACGCTAGGTAATTAACCCTTGATGTCCTTAGAATTTTTTGGTTTTGGAACTGCTTGTCCACTCAACACTGTGTGAGGGGGGAGAGGCGAACCACTAACCCACCGCTACGCACAACTACGCACTGATGATGTCACCTCGATTGGCGATGAAACGTTTGCAACAAATTGCCCAGCTCGGCGAACAAGCCAACGACCATAGTTGAATCATGTTGGCTTATTAAGACCATGCCACGATAAATTCCAATAAGATTAAATTATGCACCACAAAGAACTCGCAAAAGTACATTTTGTCCGGCGCCGCTGACCTTGGTGTACCAACGTGAGCAAGGCGTTGTCAGATCCACTTAAAGTAAACATGGATGAACGATCCACGACAGACTGGTCCACAGGCGAGCTTGTCAAACGCACTGGCATGGAATACCCTAGACAGGACAGTACTCACAAGTACGAAACAGATAAAGTGTTTTGAAAACTTATCATAGTCTCAATTCAAAATGACGAATGGTGTTTTGAAAACTTGCTTTATCATAGTCTCAATTCAAAATGACGAATAGCTACACCATAAAATCCCAATTGTTACCAGAAACTGCCAAAAAGAGCGACATTCATAGGGAAAATTGATGTTTAGCGGCAGTCAAATCTTATGGGCGAAATGGGAGGAGGTTGTATCAATACGGCTCAGATATTTAAGATACTCACACCTCCAAACAACACAGTGGACAGTATGGATGGCAAAGGACCACACAAGCACCAATGATCGCAACTAAGAAAGCGAGGGATAAACGAATCCTGTCCCCCGAGAAAAAGATTACACTGGCATTATACAAACCTTGTGTAACCAATGCTTTTTATTCTGTTAAATTGGTAATTGGTAATTGAAACGGAAGACAATGCCCCTGTTTGTGAGCGGTGGTCTGACACGCGTAGTACCACAACTTGGGCAGTTGTCCCCTTACCCGCTGAAGCACTAAGTATTTGACTTACAGTTGATTCATCGCAAGTTCCCTACCGCTAGCCAAGACGGGTTACAAGACGCCGATTATCTGACCACCTTAGATCGTTTGCTCCAAAATGCCACACACTTGCCCGTGAAGCAAAAACCGCGATAAATTCTGATAAAAATGGACACTAAGGTTTAGTAGTGCACCTTCTGATAGCACAGAAGGTGTGAGTTGGCCAAAATTATTGCAGGCCTTGGTATTCACATGCGAAATACACGTGTCACAATGGAAAAATACATCAAGCGTTCAAAAAAGACTTTATTACCCAGACTCTCCTGTACTAATCAATGTATTTCAAGAGTCCAAATGACATTCTTAGGATAATAACTCTGATTGATACCCCTAGAAGAACCTGTACCTTCCACCGTTTTGAAAGAAGCATTAGTCGTGTGTTCTATCAGACAACATTTTCACCGCGGAAAATTAAGCATCAAAGTTTTGCAGTGTCCATCTGCTCCATTATTTTGCTGATAACAAAGTGCTTCCGGAATAGAGAAATTGGATGCACTTATTGGGCATTAGAGCTTTCAAGCAGCTCGCAAACAGCTCGATATCCGGCCCCATGATCCCCTGATGCGATAGGTGTACACCGTTCCAGAACCTTGGTAGCATGCAACGTTGAACAACTGCGTTCAGAAGACCAGAGCGCGCTTGACTTGCGTTAAAACGGGTTTCATCTAAATTAAATCAAAGAACCCTACATAAGTGTTTTGCACGAACTGAGTGCGGATCAGTATGTCCATTGTGGAAATGACTCAAAATTCCGGGTTGGACTCTCAGACTGTCATCATCATGGCCAACAATATCAACGCTGACAATAAAGCTTCACACCTAACCAGCTGTTGTTAAGAATTCGGCAGATGCGTGTCTGCTTTTTTCTGGAATACGTCGACGCTTTTAACAAACATACAGTCCATAGGACAAGTGGACCATGTTCGTTAGGTATACACGCATCAACGAGTGTTTAGTAGGACTCAGCTGTTGCCATAAGGCCAGTTCCAACACTAACAGGACATAGAGAAGTTTCACATGGCCTTACAGGAACAAGCCAAATTTAAGCACTTTTAAATAATCATAGAAATGCTACGAAAAAAATCAGAATGTAGCCACTTCTGAAGTTTCGGGACAGAATATACTCACAGTGTTGGAATACGTCAGAATGGAGAATGACTGTTTGATAATGTTGGTATAATGCTTGCGCACAAAGTGTGTCCGCCCTTCCGTATAAGGCTTGGACTCTAAGTTGATTTCAAACTCATTTCTCCGTGCTTTTTTGTGGTTTCTGTCTTCATCATCTGACGTAAGTCTACTCTTCACATACATATAAGCTTCCTGATAAATAGGTACCGCAAACTTTTAATACCAACCAACTTGGTGGCCTTTTTGCAAAAATCATTAAACTTATGTTCCCAATTATTTGTTCACAAAGGGGTAAACGACGGAAAATCACGGGCCACCGTCAGGAACTGGGCGAAATGTTCGGTGTGAGCAATACTCACCTATACGCGAGAAAAACGGAAGCTCTTACGAAAATTGCAACCATATTCCATTTTAACGCCTTTAGGCTCCTTGAACACTTATATTACATATAAAACAAAAATAGCTTTCTGCGGTTCATTTCTAGACATATTTCTCCGCATTCCGACAGCGAAAAAAAGCGCATTAGTCTACCTGAAAAAATTAAGAAGGACTTGAGAATTTCTCAGGTATCCTCATAAGTTTAAGATGGACCACAAATGCAGATCAGCGGGCTAGATTTAAATGAGTCACATCCTGTACGTTTGAAGCGCTGAAGAAAATTTGTATCTTAAAATCATGTTTGGGGGAAGAGGGGTATATCGGCCAAAAAACGATCTCCATTTGAGGGGTCGTTTTTGATTCGTTTAGCCCATCCCGTAACCAAGGTGGAATCAATCATGCGACCTTTTGACAACCAGCCACATGCTGTTTGTTCAAAAGGTACTCGTCCGGCAGTCAAAATAGTGCAACTACGTTCATCTGATGGACAAAATGCTAGGCAAAGTTAAGTTTTCCGCGCCCGTAACGTAGATGCAAATTGAAATAAATTGCTTAGGGTACCTGACCGGACGTCTAATCCAACCAAACTCCAGTTGAATTTGCGGCCATTGTAAGGCCCATATTGAATGGCGGTTTGTCAGTTGAGGTCAAATCCCCAACAAGTTGACCAGAAGGATAGTATATAACCAAAAAACTGCCACCAGGAAAACTTTCCAGGAAATTTCGGCAAATAAAAATCATTTGTTGTTTTATTTCTAAATTTACCTTCGTAATTCAAGAGTCCGTCACCATTTTCATCTGCCTCGTTCATGATGGCCTCAGCGTCCAAGTTTTTAAGCTTATCGCCAAACAGTCGTATCACAGATCTTCAAAAATAAATTTAAAACGGAACGCGTGGTGAGTATTGAGCAAATTCATCAGGGCTTGCGTAAACCGTGAAATAAAAGTTGTGACAACATGTGTGGAAACCTAGGTTCGGAATCAACCTTGGCAGGTCCTCTGGAGTAAATGGAACTTAACTGCCCGAGAAGTGAGTAAACCTTCCGTCACAAAAAGTCAAACTTAACTGAAATCCATAAGAGGAGGGAAACCAGTTGCGCCTGTGTTCACAGTTCAGGGACAAGAAAATTTGGCGCCAAAAATACCGCAACGGTCTGGTATGTGATAGTGCTCTGAAGCACACCCAAACAACCGGAGACAAAGAAAACTTTTTGACGCAGTAGGCGTTGGGTATAAATTGAGCTCTAACAACGAATTGTACACAGTAAGTTCGTATCTAAACTGTCGTAGGACCTCCATGGTACACACAAGTGGTTGCAAAAACATGCACCAAGTATGAAGATGGTGTCTAGTTGAGAAGAATAAACCGGAATAGCCAAGAGGATTGATAAACGTGGGATGTTTATTTGATTTACTACAGAAGCCTAGAATTCTTCTATGCTAAGTAGTTTAGTCCACCCCACCATACTATTTATCAAAAGACTCGAGTATAAGTAAAAAGCATAGTTCCAATGGATCGGAACCACCTTAATCTTTTTCACATCGTGAAAAAGGCAGTCCTGAATAGAAATCCCAAATTTATGGATCTACAGCAACAACCGTTTCCTTTAGACTGCCATTGGAAAAAGTTTCACATATTTCGTTCCCAGTACCAATGACTTTGACAACGTGAAAGAGGGTTTAGTCAGTACAAACTGAAGGATTTCTAAAGGGCTAAGAGACACGTTTGTACCAAAACATCTACAATGTGCAGATTCATTATTCACTCAACTAACATCTCTTGGGCTCTTGGCTGGCCAGTAGTAACTGAGTCGACTTTCGGAATCAAGCTAATAAGTACGCAAAAATTTCCCAAGCGTCAGCCAAAGACTCATCAGAATGTCCTTGGGCATCCATCTTCCGTGTTGGAAACAACCATAAAAACGGAGCAAAGTGCTCAATTACTCTTTATGTCGCAATGGCCAACGGTATTCATGAAAGGAACAAACTGTTCACCAGCATCAAATGGCTTGCTAATTTTCTGCAAGACGTTGCCCACATCTTCATGGGTCTGTTCAGCCGGACAGTGATTCAAATTCACTGGAAACTTAAAACGTAAACGGTAAACTTCACAGATACACTATCCAACAGCATGAAACATTCCTCACTATTTGTCCCGTCCTGAAATCAACAGTGGCTTTGACCCAGCACAGAACTATGACTTCAGTGGGGCAAAGTAAATACACAGGCTGCAGAGCTCAACCGATGGGGCCCCTCTGGATATTATGTTAACAATGGATTTGTTCTTGTTTTTTAGCTGGTTTCAAGCTTCCATCCATCTATATATGGTTAGTTTAGGAAAGAAGAAGCAAGAAACGACTTGTCTACTTCAGCTCTGTCCAGTTACCCGTAACTCAGTTTTTACCGTCATAGAAGCATCTTTACGTGCTGGTATATGTATTTGCAGTGACTGAACACACTGCCTTGTTTTCGGTCGCTCGGTTTCAGCAAACGAACTCATCTTTGCTGATTTTAGCTTCGTTTTCTAGTGACACAGTCTAGTTCCTAGAGGGAGTTGCTTGGCTTGAAAATGACCTGCCCCAGCAACGAGCCCTTCCAACCAAAGGGACTGTCAGCAAACTGGAGCACGGGAGTAGGAAGAGCGTTCGAAAACGGTGGGTTTTGCAGGGTACCGAATAAGGACATGCTCGTCTGTTCAACGTTGCTAGCCATTAAAACGCCTAGAAAAATAACAATGCACTAAAAAATACTTCACACTCACGCACCTAGTCTTTTTGAGTTACAAACCGTCGGAGGGCGCAAAAAGCTCCGTGTCCAGAGGACAACGAAAGACAATTCGTGCAGTATCTGTAGGCTCCAGCAGTGTTTGATTGTATTGACTATGCAAAAGTGCTGCAAAAAATACGAAGGGCTAGAAAGAGCAGATCCATCTACAAACAGATGGGAGCCTTCTTCAATCAGCGCCAATCACGGGCTACACTCAGTGATGCCCACTTACAAGCAGTAAGAGCTGTCGCTGAGGTCCATCAAGAAACTGTCCATGAACCAGTACCACTCCCAACATAAACTACACCAACAAATATATCCTGACTACTCTTGCTGCTTGTAGGTGAGTGCAAAGTGTGGAAGGTGGAAAAGAATCACTAAGACAAATAAAATTCAACATGAATAAGCTAACATAGCTTGAAATACACGGAATGCGGGTTCGAACCAATACGTCTGAGGTCTTGAGGATTGTTTCGAGGGTGGGTGGGAGATGGAGTTGTAGCCCTTGTAAACTGCTCTTTTTCATGCTCAGTATCTTCGTTTTCTCATCATTATCAGTCACATCGCTGTACAAAAGTTTGTTTTACTGAAATACAAACGCTACCGCCCACTCGTTGGCTCCAACGTGACTTTGAGACTTTTGCTGAGTGACTGTTGTTGTGACCGCCGGTTGGCTATATTTGACCGCTGCCAACACTAAACGTGAACAAACATTTTAGCTACAAACACTGGACTAATATATTCACACTTCTGGAATAATATTTCGATCACCGGAGATCTGGAATATCAGGAAGATAGAACTATTCTTGGTGTGGTGGTTCAACGGAATACGGAACTACGGAATCTCCTATTTTGAACCGTCAGTCAAGATTTACTTGGATTCCTTTTCCTTGTGACTTTGTATTTGGCTTACATTGGTAATTGTTCTGTCCACTAGAGACTCCGTAGGGCCGTTAACCACTACAGAGGTATGCAACCCACAGGGAAAGCCCATATCTCTGATGCAGACCGCGTGTGTCTTTGGAATGAATAAATCAGTCTTAAAACCCACAATAACAAGAGCTAAGACTCTTATATTTCTTTGGAGGAAACCAGAAACAGCATCCTGTCATACAGCTAAATTCTTTGCAAAACGTTTGATGTTTGGTTTAGTAGACCAGTGGTTGATTACAAACAACCGAAGAATTATACATGCATCAAACGAGAACAATTTTTTGAGAGAGGCACAGCGATTAGGGACACGAATAATATTTGCATGATTGGAAGGTTATTTACGTTACGTTTTAGACGGTGCAGCGAGTACCTGGTTTTCGACTTCAAAATGGTTAAACGGAGGGGGTGGTTAGAGCTTACGCAGTTTCTCCGCCAGCGTAAACCACAAACAAAATGTCACCGGTGCAAGCTCAAAGTATAGTGGACAAACTGACCACCTAGCGTTTATCAACTTTGAAGACGGATAGTAACAGAATGGAGAAGAATTCTGGCACAGGTAGCTCAGACTGTCAAAGGATTTAAAAGCCCACTCAGTCGGAAATTGACAGTGGTTGCCAGTGCAGAAATGCTGTGAAATAGAGCTTGGGACATTTAACTCGATCATTATCATGGGATGAAGATAAGACAGAGACTACTATCTCTAATTAGGAAGAAAAGGATATAAAAGAGCACCTGGGGTTATGGCGACACGTTTTTGAAAGATAAAACCACTGGTGGGGGGGGGGGGGCAAAAGGCCGTAGATTCCGATTGGTAGACCACTTCTGCACATATATTTGCGGTATGCTGCTCAGAGTGATGATGGCGAAGTTAAAGAAATTAATAGGATACAATATACAATAGTCAAAAATAGACCTGCTATAGACCAGGGCATGTGCATGAGGGGGAGTCTGTTAGGTGGACAACTTTTGGTGTTCCGCATGCATAACGATGCGACTATTGTGATGTAGAAATATGCATGTACGGTTGAGGTGTAGGAGTGACTGACTTCGCGCCCATTTTCGCGGTTCAATATGGGCAAACAACAAGCCCAAGATTAGAATCCTTATTTTTTGGGAAGATATTTAGGGATGAGCCATTATTTGGTTTACTTGAAGGACGGGATAGACTTAGCACAGACTGCCGACTCATGAATCCGGTTTCAGGAGGGTAGTGTAACCAAATAGAAATTACGTTTGGGACAGCGTGTGTACTTTTCCCAGGAGACTTTCAGTTTGTAACAACGTAATTTGCTACTGTATCTACCCCCGGGAAAAGTACGCACGCTGTCCCAAACGTAATTTTTATTCGGTTACACTACCCTCCTGAAACCGGATTCATGAGTCGGCAGTCTGTGCTAAGTCAATCCCGTCCTTCAAGTAAACCAAATAATGGCTCATCCCTAAATATCTTCCCAAAAAATAAGGATTCTAATCTTGGGCTTGTTGTTTGCCCATATTGAACCGCGAAAATGGGCGCGAAGTCAGTCACTCCTACACCTCAACCGTACATGCATATTTCTACATCACAATAGTCGCATCGTTATGCATGCGGAACACCAAAAGTTGTCCAGCTAACAGACTCCCCTTCATGCACATGCCCTGGTCTATAGCAGGTCTGTTTTTGGCTATTGTATATTGTATCCTATTAATTTCTTTAACTTCGCCATCATCATCACTCTGAGCAGCATACCGCAAATATATGTGCAGAAGTGGTCTACCAATCGGAATCTACGGCCTTTTGCCACCCCCCACCAGTGGTTTTATCTTTCAAACGTGTCGCCATAACCCCAGGTGCTCTTTTATATCCTTTTCTTCCTAATTAGAGATAGTAGTCTCTGTCTTATCTTCATCCCATGATAATGATCGAGTTAAATGTCCCAAGCTCTATTTCACAGCATTTCTGCACTGGCAACCACTGTCAATTTCCGACTGAGTGGGCTTTTAAATCCTTTGACAGTCTGAGCTACCTGTGCCAGAATTCTTCTCCATTCTGTTACTATCCGTCTTCAAAGTTGATAAACGCTAGGTGGTCAGTTTGTCCACTATACTTTGAGCTTGCACCGGTGACATTTTGTTTGTGGTTTACGCTGGCGGAGAAACTGCGTAAGCTCTAACCACCCCCTCCGTTTAACCATTTTGAAGTCGAAAACCAGGTACTCGCTGCACCGTCTAAAACGTAACGTAAATAACCTTGCAATCATGCAAATATTATTCGTGTCCCTAATCGCTGTGCCTCTCTCAAAAAATTGTTCTCGTTTGATGCATGTATAATTCTTCGGTTGTTTGTAATCAACCACTGGTCTACTAAACCAAACATCAAACGTTTTGCAAAGAATTTAGCTGTATGACAGGATGCTGTTTCTGGTTTCCTCCAAAGAAATATAAGAGTCTTAGCTCTTGTTATTGTGGGTTTTAAGACTGATTTATTCATTCCAAAGACACACGCGGTCTGAAGAATGGGTGAATATTGTTGGATGACGGAGCTACGGAGTTGTGAGTAACTCCACTGACTATACGACAGTTCTTCCCCAACCATGTTCGATCGAGCTTGCGCGAGGAGATCCACTCCTGATTTCAATGGACTAACCCAAGGATCCTTGGGTTATCGGATTATCGATAATCCGAAGGAGTTTGTTCCAAACAACTTACCTCAGCTCCTCCTGTGAAATAAACCCATCACCATTTCTATCGAAGTAATTAAATGATCTTCGAAGATCCGCCTCAACAGAGGCAAATTTCTTCTTCTTCATGACCATTACTATAAATTCCGGGAAATTAATTCTTCCGTCACCTAAAATTCGGTAACAGGATGATGCACAACTTACCATCAGAGTCAAATCGTCTCATTATATTGGCTACCTCAAGACGTGTAGGCCTTCTGCCTACACGAGAAAGTGCTTCCTCCAATTCTCTTACATCTATCGACCCGTTCCCATCCTTATCATAAGCTGTAAATGCTACCTGAAGCTCCTCCAACTCAGATTTTGACAGTGTATCAACCTATAAATAGTATTTGAGGCTATAATAACTGGTACCATTTCTGGTCAGGTTGTAAACCAAGGAGCAAATACACGGGTTAAAACAGCGCCCAATCTAACCGAAGGCGAACGCTAGCATGATTAGCTCAGCTAAACTCAGCTCAACCCAACTTAGCTCGCGGGCCGGGAAACCGTGAAAAAGCCGTTCAGTTTCTCATCCACATCAGCTTTGAGGATTTGGGTTTGCCCGCTGCATCACCTGTCCGGTTCATCCGGTGGTGCGCAGCATTTCTAACCAGACTCGCATATTGATAGAAGGACCCATTAGCGGCACAATGCCCTTATTCAAAAAACCTTTGAAAATAAATCAAATATTTTCATGCTAAAATGTTGCATATTGCTGAGTATGTGCGCGAGTAAAAAAACATTTTAGTGTACTCTCATTTTTTTCAGCTCGCCAAATTTTATTGTCCACTGAAGCGATCATACCTCTGGTGGAAGTTTGATGGAATAATTTTCGAGCATCGCTGAGACCCCAGAATACCTAAATGTGGCTTAAAAATTTAGCCCCGTACCCTGAACTCGGTTGCTCAATTGCTTTAATCCACCAGGGACATGTCATGGCTTTCGAAAATTCAATTCCATTGTGCAAATACTGAACGCCTTCACCTAAAGCAAAGTTGACGTGTAACACCGCTCTGCTAATTTTCAGTAGGCTTGCAGTAGTGCAGGGTGAACAGCTGCCGGGGGAGGTCATCTCACTCACCAACTGCCCCAAATGAGGAAGGCTGTTGTCTAATAGAAGTGCATGACTTAATATTTCATGTTTTCATACCATGCCCCCACCATTATTTAGTGAGGTCGATGGATACCCATACACAACGATAGGCTCGGGGATGGAGCTTGCAGGTCTTGAGGTGTGTCTCGTAAACAGTGGATTTGAGGCTCGGCACCCTACTTTTAGAAACCCGTTGCACAGGCGTCATGAACAGGAAACTCGGCTACCGTACTTGAGCAGCCATCCTACATGGGCTCCATTAAGTATCTGGAGGTTAATTCAAGTAATTCGGAGGAAAGTGTGCTGAGTTACCAAAAGTACGACAAATGCCTTTTGGGCCCATTATTTTGGTGCTACAAGTGAAAGGAAGAAGGCTTTCGCTGCGGAAATATTTTTTAGAAAGTGCCAAGTGAACAGTTACAGACCATTTGACAGGGGAGCAAAGTTCTTATATGCATCTTGTTTGCAAAAACAGAATGTCCATCTCCACTTTGAACGCGTCTTCCTGAACTTTTCTGGCTATTTATTTACCGTTGCTCAAATCCAAGCAGATGCTACAAAGCGACCCCACAAATTCCGTAATAGATCTCACTTTTCAAGAGACGCGAGGCGGATTTACGAGAAAACATACTACTTGCATACCTCCCCATCAGTAGTATCACCGTTAGACAAGGGCATACTTGAAAGGATCCGGATGCCTAAATCTTATATTCCGGTCCACTCTCGCAGCTTACGACAACGGCGTTCAATGAGCCTAATTAGAACGTTATACGGAGGCACTTTCGTCACCCTGAGGAAGGTACACGTACTTCGAAAACAGTTTTAGTATATCTTCATTCATTCTAAGGGTACTGGAGTTTGAACTCCAAGACTCCAGGTTGCCCGCGTAACGTAGACATGAGCTTGAATGTACCCCCAATTAAACGCAGAACTTCCCTTTCATCTTTCCACATCTTTACGCATTTGAATACCGACAGTTTATAATTGCTCTACTCATATATTGGGTTAAATCGGCCTTCAGAATGTCTGCTTGGGTGGAGGTGTCCCTGACCTCCTCTGGAACATGTCCTCAAGATGCGACAACTGGCCGCGGTAATGGTGTGCCTGCCAAGTGTTCAAAGCTTCACATCGCGGTAGTTTACTCCGACGGCATTTTGAATGTTTCGCCGGTCTTTCTACCACGAAATATTTTTTGACTATCCGGGTTCTATGCTACCGACGCACATTTGCAGCAGCTGTGCCCACGCCCAAATGCGCATCGGTCCCACCCTGTCGCGATGTGGCTCTTTGCTGTCCACCCTGCCGCGCAAATACACGGGTGCAGTTGGACACCAAACTGTTACCTTAACTAACTCATCCTTAGTCAGTCTGCGTCTCTGTCTACCCAACAAATTCGCTCATATCCTGTAGAGCTCCATCTTGAGATACGCATTTTGTGAAATGCCGGATTAAGAAATCTGTTCAGGGAGCTGAGCTGCTTCCCAGGACCACGTGCCACGGAGTCTCAATGCTAAAAAGGACGCACAACCAACAAATCAAAAGGTGCGCATAAGACTTCCTTGGAAAGTACGGACCGAACCATCCTCCAGTTGGAACCAGAAACTGTTCTGTGAAAGAAAGTTTCGCCAAGGGAACAAAAAATGAAAATAGTACACCCGCGGCCATCCCATTCCTTCTCTTGACTGCTTGAGCACCATGTCCCATTCAAACCTATTCCTTGCACTTGACCTCCCTGCAACAGTGCAACCAATGAGTCTGCAAAGTTTCAGATTACACCATATTTTTGAGACAAAACTTGCCATGTTCTCCCGATTCGAATTGTCCCATCTCCATTTCCACTTTTGCTCACTGTGATTCTGGTCGTTTACCCAACCGCCCAAAGTCACTCATGGCCAGCAACGGTTTTTCAGTTTCAGCTCGTATCACCCGGCTAAGTCTTTGAACTAGTTAGACCTCAAGCCCATTGTTCCCTATAAGCTGGGAAGAAACCTGAAAACATCACAAACGAGGGATTCAGCTGAGTTCTATGTGAGTCTCTAGAAAAAAACAAATTAGTTTGCAAATGAGTGTTCGCTAATTTCGTGCAATTCGGTTTTAAGTAGAACATTGGGTTGACGGAAACCCGGGGAATGCGCCTACTTGATGAGCCCCAAAAAGAGCGAAACCGGTCGTGGGCTGTCGACGGATTTTCAGCAACCTGACGAGTATAACATTACAAAGAAATCTATTATTATTTCATCGAATGCTTCCCACCGTTTATGACATTGTCCTCTTTTCGCGCAGTTCCCACTACCCGCAAACCCCCCAGTCATGCTTCATTCTCACTGTAAACGTACGATCATGCCAGACTGTGTGCCACCCACAAGTTCGAAATAAACATTATTATTATTATTATTGACACCCGCCCTCATCTCTTGAGTCTCGGCATTGTACCGAAGTCCAGATTTCAAGAGGGCCTTCTGGTGGACAGAACATTTTACCGCTAATATTGCCGGAAAGTCTTTCGAGAGAACACAATTAGTTTATTCATTTCTTGGGATCATCAGTTTACCTCAAAATCATGACTAGTCTAAGCACAGCTATCTGGTCATCGGAGATATATAGTCAGCTGCAAACCATTTTGGTTTTGTGGAATACTAAACCGGATCCAAGTTGGGTCATTAGTTACTGAAATTTTTCTTTACTCTGCACTTATTAAGAGCGCCCATTTTGTACTTCATTCATATTCAAACCGTTCCACATAGAATATATAGTACCACTTTGTTTCCAAGCCCCCTGGCCTTTATCGACACAAAAGTGCCGGATTTCATTCTTGACAAATTGGGTTCTGTGACTGTTTTGGTGGCATAAGCTGATTCATCAACCGTTATGTGAAATCCCTGACTACACCTCCTGGAAAGATATCGCCCGGTCAGAAAGTGCCCCAGCCCATATCTCAACTCTTTTCCACATTACTGAGCGGTGGGCTCCCATGTGGACACCAATAAACATCCACTAGGGTTGCTCACCGCCACACATGTTGTCCTATATTGCACCATTCAGCGCATACCTCACAGCTCTTCCATCCAAATAACGCACAGGGCCTACACATGGATGTGCCCAATAATCGCTAAGTGATTCTTTCGCCTTGAATCCTCTCAGTCTCCCTTCGTTCCCACTACTACATTTATGTATAAACCACACTTTCGTTTTAGCTTTTACCCGCCAGTCACAACTGCCTCAGCGCCTGGACCGCTGCATTCTTGGTTGATATTACAAAACCTCTGCTTCGTGAAATGATGTTTGACGGTATGGGTAGACGACGGCACACTGAAGCGGTGCTGGACTGGGACGTTTCAGATTAACAATGCACAAAGATGACGAGCGCGCAGCTTGTTCTCATTTGTGGACGACGTCATTCTTGCTAGGTCCCACCATGTGTTGATGCGCGATTGCATTCGTTTATGGAGAAAATTTAGCGAGAAATTTAGGGAGATGTGAATCTAACTGACACACTTCTGACCCCTATAAATACAGGACTGAATGCAAGCAGTGCACGTATGCCAGAGTACGCGTCCAACTTAGCCAAAATATCGGTTAGTCTTTCAAAGCAAGATTTTGGTTATTCAGGAAAAATAAACCAGGGCTAGCTTCCTCACTGCACTGTACTTCCACCCATTACCGGGTTTCGGCTAAAGGCCTGCTGCTCTCCAAATTCACTGCGCTCCCGAAATCGCGCCTAAAACACCTGTGATGGGATCCAGAGCAGGAAACAAATTTAACCCAAGATCTAGTTGAACAATCTGCCCATTTCTTGGGTGAATCGCTTGCCCTGAATGTGTTGGCGGCAACAGTCGCGAACCCACTGAGTGGATTCCTAAGGCACTCGTTGGAGGAAGCCCGATTCCGGCGGAGTGAAAACCAGAGGTTTTGAAGCCACTTCACATGTCAGGGGAGAAGCATGGTTCAGGTAAACACAATCATTGAAGTGTGAACGTCGTTTACGCTCACGATAAGGAAAGGAGAAGGAATTCCGGTAAAAATAAACATGAAAGCGGACAAGTGAAATTTGGAAGAAATGGGGTTTTTCTTATCACAGAATCCACTCAAAAGCGGAGGAATCCCCAAACGGCAGGATTCGAACCCCCCGAGCTCTTTTGGGACGAGTAAGTTCAGGATGTGCAGTTCTACTACACTACGTAGAGCTGGCGTCCTAGAGCACACCCTAATTTTCTCTGGAGCCTTGGTTCGAATAAAGAAACTTT